CTACCTGTAGAACATCAGATGTACAAAGCCAAGCCAGTCTATCCTTTAACTTCAGTCAATGACCAGTATTTCATTTAGAAAAGCATAAAGGTTAAAAAAAACTTGCTACCTAAAATAAAACCACATATTATAATAGCACCAGTGACTTTTCGGAAGTTGCTATATAGCAGCTAAGATCCCTAGAAAATATGACCACTAATGATTATGGGAAGTGACATTTAGCAAACTTGGTTGATCCCTGATCGTTCTTTAATAATTCATATGTACATCTGCAGGGATTCCAAAGAATTTAAGTTCCATTCCTCCAAACCCTTCAGAAAAAGAATGGAAAAGATTGATGGGAAAAGGGTGAAAAATAATTTTGGGCTTGTTGTTCCAGCCTCAGCTGATACCAGAACTAAGAAGTAGACTATACATTTTTTGGGGGTGTGTGTGTTATTTTTATACGAAAAAAGAAACATTCTCTACTCACCCACCCACCATTAATTAAATAATGTGCTTAGGGTTTATTTTCTTTTTTAATGCTCTTTGGGTCAGGATGACATTTGAAGACTGGTGCAAGAACTTTACTGATGTGGACATTTGTCGGATTGTGAACACGTCTTTCTTCAGTATCCATAAGACCTGGGAAAAGAAAATGATGCGTGGAGAGTGGACCAAGAATCCAGATCCCTTGTTAAATCGCTCTGGAGGGTGTTTAAACCATGAAGCCACATTTCTCCAAAACCCTCAGGTTTTCATATAATTTATATTTGATTCATACATAGTTTGGATCTTCTGTGGGCATAAATCTAAACCCAAAAAATTTTGTTCTTCCAATATTTGAGGAGCTTCTACAATGATGAGAGGGTCAACTTATTTTCCAAAGCACCAGAGGGCAGGACAAGAAACGATAGATAGATAGATAGATAGATAGATAGATAGATAGATAGATAGATAGATAGATAGATAGATAGATAGATAGATGGATGGATGGATGGATGGATGGATGGATGGATGGATGGATGGATGGATGGATGGATGATTGATTGATTGATAGATAGATAGATAGATAGATAGATAGATAGATAGATAGATAGATAGATAGATTGATAGATAGATAGATAGATAGATAGATTGATAGATAGATAGATAGATAGATAGATAGATAGATAGATAGATAGATAGATAGATAGATAGATAGATAGATAGATAGATAGATAGATAGATAGATAGATAGAATTCACTACATATAGGACTTGACCTGACATAGGATAAGACAGGTTAAAACTGTTTTTGGGTTTCGTTGTGCTTATATTTACATCATGTTAATTCATTAGAAACGGCAAATGTAACTACCTCTTATGCATGTGTAATATTTAGATCCATGCTGCCATTCGTTGTTGTTGTTTTTTTTTTTTTTTAAAAAAAAGCAAAATGCATTCAGAGCATGTACATAAGTGCACGTAGCATTGTGCAATGCTCTTTAAAGCAGCTATGTCTTAGGATTGTGCAGCCACCCCCATGACTAACAGGCATTCAGAATCTAGCAGTAAATCCTGTAAAGTTTTTTAGGGGTGAGGACTGACAGAGGGAATTGTTTGCATACGCATAAGCTAGAAGTTCACTTTTGAAGTTGTGACTAAGATATAAGCATTTATCTCCTGAAATCTCTTTTCCACTCATCCTCAGTTTGGCAGTACCTATATTCCTCTGGACATGGTCCATAATACTGGTCCATATTATGTTCCACTAGTTTTCGTATCAGCACTGCTTTTATGCATTGCATAGTTTAAAATTCTGCAAAAATATTGCACTTAACACATATCCAAAGGATCATGGAATCATAGAATTCTAGGACTGAAAGGGACCTTGGAGGTCTTTTAGTCCAATCCTCTGCTCAAGTCAGGAGTCCTTATACTATCTTGGATAAATGGTTGTCCAATCTACTGTTGAAAATCTCCAGTGATGGAGCTCCCAAAATCTCAGGAGGCAACACTTAGACCAGGGGTAGGCAACCTCGGCTCTTTTATTCCTGAGCCAGCCGGCTCAGGAATTCTGGGAGTTGAAGTCCACGAGTCATAAAAGAGCCGAGGTTGCCTACCCCTGACTTAGACCAATTCTCTCTCTAGATACTGTACACATTTCTAAAACTATTTCAGTATTTTGTTTTCTGCAATGTTCTGCATTGTGACATTTGGAGAAATTAAACTTCTGGTGACTAAGTTCCATCAGAAGTTTTGGTATCAAAGTTCCTTCCCAAAGATCAGATTTCACAACCAATTGTCCTTATTTGAAAGTAGGCACCCATCATTTTTATCTATCAACTATTCCAAAGATAAACAGGATCACTTCAGCTCCTTTAAAAAGAATAAAACTGGCACCGACAACTAATCCTTGAGTTTCATCTTACTTTGATCTGCTTCCTAGGATTGCCCTATATCACTACATTTGTCTACATAACAACCCTGGAGCTAGGTTAGTTACATATTTTGAGTATTCCACCTTCCAACATTGACCAGTGAGATACCTTTAGAGGTTCCATCAATAAGGTTGATAAGAATTCCCATAACTCAGAACTAATCTCCAGGAAGTTTAGTATTTTCCAAGTATGTACTTCAACATCCAAAGAGCCTTCAAGTTGGGAGATTATGGCACTGATCTTCAAAACATCTGGACTGTACTTAATTGGGAAAAGTTGCATTAAGTGCTGTGTAAGGTTGTTGTATGCAAACATATGTATATCACTGGAA